ATATATATATCTATATCTATATCTATATATCTATATCTATATCTATATATATATATCTATATATATCTATATCTCTATATATCTATATCTCTATATATCTCTATATATCTCTCTATATCTCTATATATCTCTATATATCTCTCTATATCTCTATATATCTCTATCTATCTATCTCTCTATCTCTATCTATCTCTATCTATCTATCTATCTCTATCTATCTCTCTCTATATATATATATATCTCTCTCTCTCTCTATATATATATACATATATATATATATATATATATATATATATATATATATACAACAAAAATTACGGTAAGCATGCATGTGATAATTATTGAAAAACAAAGTGACAAGTAAATTACTGTAGATTTTAACGCTGCATACTTATAAATATTAAATTGTCAGTATAACATTGTAAAACAAGCTTAATACACACAATATACACAGAATATTGTCAGAATAATATTGTTTCATAAAAGAGAAGCGATATAATGCCTTGTCCTTAGGTTTCGGTTTGTGAATTTGTTCAGTCTTTCTCAAGAATTATTCTTAGCCTAGGAGTCAGACAAGCCCAGGACACAATAATGCATGCAAGATTTTAATATTTGTCTTTATATGAATGCTATATTAATTTACAGTAAAAATTCAACAAGGATACCAAATACATGACACTTTTATCTCTACATTGCCGCAATTCCGAAGCTTTGTGTTGGTCGGCTTTACAAACGGGAAGTGTAGTTTATGGAAGCTTGTCAATCACTTCATTTGAATCAGTTATCAACCAATCAGAGCTCTGTGTCCAAATATTGCACACATGCACGTAAATGTTATAGGGATCCTTGCAGGCTCTCTTTCCTCCACAGAGCCTGCTCACAGGCTATGCTTTTTATAAGAAATTCACAAAACTGGCACTAGGACCTTATGTGAGGGGCCTGAAGGGGTCCAATCCCATTTCCCACCTGAAATTTTGGCAAAATCCCAGTCCCAGTTGGATTTTTATTAGAAATCCCAGTCTGAGTTATTGAAATCCCAGTCAATAAAGACCCCTTTATTTATTGGTAGCAGTGCCGTAGCAAGCTCGATAATTGGGGGGGGGGGGCTGATATTCATATATTCGTGTTCAGAGACCATAAAAACAGTCGATTTCAAAAGAAATTAATAACGCAGAACACGAATATATGAATATGAGCCCCCCCCAATTATCGAGCTTGCTACAGCACTGGGTAGAATAAACAGTTTTAAGACCTTTTAAGCCACCGTGTGTGCAAGTGGTGGATACTTTATGAAATATTGGGGGGGGGAGGCTTGTGCCAAAGGCACAGAAAATTTTTGAATTTGAATCCCGGAAATGGCATTTGCAGCATTCTGAGACTCGCAAAATCAGAAAACTCAGAATTCCAGGCGCCAGAGCATGCCTGTTCGCAGGTAGTGCTGTGAATAATATAGTTAACAACAAAAATCATGACCAAAGACACCAAAAACGGATCAAAATTGTATTTTAAAATACTTAAAACGTATAAAAATTGGGAATCGACTCGCATTACCTCAATCCCATTCCCATTTTTGAGAACTTCATTTCCCATTCCCAGTGGCCAAATCCCAGTCCCAGCAACCCAAATCCCATTTTCCCAGTCTAAAAATAGACCAATCCCATTTCCCATTTTACCCCTTCAGGACTCTCTTATGTACATGTCTTTGACTCCAGTTTAGTTATACTGCCTCATTATAATTGACGTTTATGCTGGGGAAAGCCATTTTGAGTAATACCATATAGTTACTTGATTTACACTATGATATTAGAATACAAATGACATGAGGATCAAAGTTATGATTCGTGCTAGGGGACCGGTCAAGGGGGGAGGGGAATTTTTTCTTTTCTAAATTTTTAAAATTGAAAGCCCCCCTTAAAAGAGCAGAAATTTAATGATGACCCCCCTGCATAATAGAATATTTTTCTTTGACCCCCCATTTTTATTTTTACTTGTCAAATGAGGCGTTATAGTGTTAATTATTAAATACGAATATGGAACTGACTGATATTAACGTCGACCAAAAATATATATTAGCAGAAAATTATAATTAAAAGAGGAGTATTTTTATATATAACACTAAAATCAGGTTTTCATTTGGTCTGGGCGATTGTAACCATGTTTAACGACAGAGTATTAGTGTTTGGAGGAAGGTGCCGTTTGTGGTCCAAGGCTGCAACTAGACTTGATGGCACGAAGTATTGCCATAGCAACTGCACAGCAACAATGAGAGTAACAATCAGTAATATTAGCACCAAAAGGAGATAACCTCCGGCACCAGTCACACTGACAAGTCAGTGGAAACGAAATACAATGTATAGTGGTCTATACATCCTATTTTATGTGAGATTAAAAATTATATAAAATAAAATGACATACTACCAGATAAAATCCTCTAGAATAAACATGGATGGGTGGGGTAAAGGTATCGAAGCGCTAAACTTGCTGCAGCTAGGCAAAGCATACAATGGCAGAATGAATACCCAGACCGAAGCACTAATTACAAGGCACGAAACAACGCCCTTTGATCGATATGACATCACAGACTCCCCTCATAATACATCCTTTCCCCCCTGCATAATACATCCGCCGTTAACCTTGCTTAAATGTATTTAACCACATCAAGATAGCTGATGTAATAATCCATTGTCAATTTATCTCTGCAATCAGTGAGGACTGATTTGCATACAGCACACAGAAGACAAGATAAATCCAGACTATTTTACATCGGTGATCATGATTTAGTCACAACATTTACAACCAAATGGTACCACGCCACAGACCACGCTTATTAAGCAAATTCCTTCAAATTTAATTGCAACCCCCCCTCATTTTCTTGAAAAAATTTAATAGCTCCCCCTTCTAGTAATTTATTTATACATATGCCACACCCCCCCCTTGTTTTTTCCCTCCCTTCCATAAATAATGACCGGTCCCTAGGCCATTGTTGTCAATTGTATTCGTACAATGTGTTTTATTTTCTAGGTTTATTTAACAGGTTTATGCGATACCTCACTCAATTTATAAGCCAAACGGTCTGGTGCTGGAAACGTATGCTTTGGTTCCTCTGCCGTATAATAATAATAATAATAATAATAAACTCTATTTAAAGAAGGTATTACAAAACCACTTTAGCACTTACACTGGGCCTTAAAATGACATGCCTGTAATTTCACAATTTCATAAGCAATTTGACAACTTTTAGTAAATGTTCATTTATATAGGGTGAAAGTTTGATATCAATATTTTGTTTTAATATGCTGTACACGAAAACGTTTCTACTGCCTCAGTGTCCTGAATTTATGTATACTTTGATTTCATGAACACACAAGGATTAACTGTAATTATCACAAGTGGCTAATGCTGTGATTCATAATTCGATCGAAAAACACTGAAAATGCTTTATAATTTACATTTTAATATCGAAATATCTCGTACAAATCGATAAACCTACATAGCTCAACAAAAAATGTTACTGTTCGTCTCTTGACCAGACCTCAAGCCTGATTAGCTAACATGACAAGAATAAATTATACTAAATTAACGTTGTTTAAATGCGTCCGGATGGGACATCACCGGCCCCATATTTGTCCTGGGTTTCCAAGACGTATACAACTCTAAAAATCAGTGGCTCCTTCTAGAAGTGCAACTTTTCCAACCGGCCGGACAAGTGTTCCATCCTTCGTTTGAACTTCAGCTGCTCGGACTACACCTAAATCTCTAACGATAGGCTTTGTGACACGACTCAACAACCATGCTCCACACGGAGCATCCTTATCGACCACAAGGACAAGATCTCCTATCTTCACGTTCCTAATTTGCATATTCCTCTTACATTGCTCTAGAAGGTTCGGGACATACTCCTTTAGCCACAGTTTCCACATGTGATCCACTATAACCTTCACCTGACGCCATCATTTCTGACTAGAAATCTCTTTCTCCACAAACACGCTAAGGAAGTTTGGGTTAGATCTTTCCAAAAGGAGATGATTGGGATGCAGTGCCTCCTTATCCAAAAGGTGCGTGCTAACATGGGTAAGTGGCTAACCGTTTAACATGCTCTCCACCTCCTGCCATAACCATCAACAAGACTTTGTCCATCAGAGTCTGGTTTCCTGCGACAGCTTTGATAGCTCTTTTGCGTGACTGAACTTAATGTTCCCAAACTCCTCCAAAATGTGGGGCAGCAGGTGGGTTAAAGTGCCACTCAATACCTTGCTGCAGCAATTCGTAGTTAATCTTTGATTGGTTCCAGTTGTGCAAACAATCCCAAAGTTCTCTGTCTGCACCAACAAAGTAGGTACTGTTGTTGGAATGTATGCGCACAGGTTTTCCTCTTTGAGTGATCATTCGTTTCATAGCCATTAGAGGTGTGCAAATCCGATCCGATTCATTTGGATTTCGGAACCAAAATATTCATATCGGATCGGATTGATAAAGTTGTTTCGTAGTCAGATCGGACTTCAATATCCGAAATAAAATTAATTAATTATCCACACATTATCGCAAGAATTAATTATCCATGCATTTATCAAAGCATTATCGCGGTTGTCACTGCATCATTCATTTGATACTTCAATTGCATGTCACTTTGTCAGCTTCTTGACACATATTTCTTGCTTTTATATTTATTTGGTTAAATATTTCAACTTGATCAAAACTCGGATCAGATTCGGATTAGACAATTTCGGATTGGTTTTAGACATTAGCCAATTGTCGGATTATAAACGTCCAATCCGATCCGATGCACACCTCTAATAGGAATGCGCAATCGGACATCCGTCAAACCAAGGTGCCTTCGGAAATTCACTACGAAGGTTGATTTCTGAACGCCGAAGATAGTCCCACAGGTTTCGTGGAATTCGCGTGTGAATGCTTGCGTGTATAAAACAATATGTGAGCGAAGGAATTGATCAATTGAATGGGAATTTCACCAAATAGTCGGATTTTCTATCTTTAAAATTGAATGAAACTGGGTTATACTGACTATTCATTAAAAGTTTGATTACAAATCAATCAAATGTGCAATTTTAGGAATATAGTTTTCTATATATAGCCTGCTTTTCACGGCGGCGTCACCGCGTCACTAGTAGCTGAAAAACTTACTGTTATCTCCGATAAATCAATATGTGTTTCTATTGTATCAATAAAATAAATTTATCTTTGTTAGGGAATGTAACAATTTTGGAAAGGGCATTTTAATTTTATTTTGTTCAAGCAAGAAATTCCCCAGTAATAGAGAATACGAAAATATTTTTGAAGAGTGGAAACACTCGTTCCCGCGATTTTTCAAATACGCGAAATGCAAATGTAAACATTGACTTTTAAGGTTACTCCATATGATGAAAACTCTGATTCCATCATTTTTTACATTTTTATATATTTGAATTGAGGGGCTGAAAATCTTTCGATCCTCAAAGATTATTTTCAAAAATATTAAAATGCGACCGAGATATAACTGAAAATGTTTTAAATTCGAATAGTTTTGCCGCGAAAATAGTAATTGTAATTGACATTCTGCTAATTGGTGTGAACTCATTACCGGATCCGCATGCAGGTGAGAAATATTGTAACACCGCACCACAGATACATTTACGTTTTGCTGATTTATCTTGCTCCTTATTCGCTTTGCTCTCCCTACATTTGCGTTTTGCCGGCATATTTAATGTTTTTGTTTTGCCTGTTACGCACTTATAACTATAGATATAGATATATAACAAACTAGATCATCAATAAATGACGCAGAACCACCTTGCCAAATGTACTTTGATGAAGTTCGATCTGATTAGCTTACAGTTTGAAGTGAGAACAGAGGGCGGAGAAACACAACAGGGAGCGGAAAAACCCCGCAAAATCTCTTTTAGCCTTTTACACAGAATGAAATATTCCCAGATTGTCCTCACAAAAAGACTAATGCACCGTGCACGTTTTATCCGATTCTTTCCAAACTTTGCCACAATGTAGAACAATTGTTCGCGTTTTTCGCCATACTTTTCGAGTTATAGGCATTCATTCTACCGTGTATACAAAATTTGTGTAAGTCAACTTGTCTGCTTTATATCAAAGCAAATACAATAGCTGTCAAAAAATGCGAACACACTTTTGTTATTTGATCATCTGAGATGAGAAATATGATGTTTTGCAGGTCCTACGGTTAAATCGGCGGCGTGCAAATCTCATGATGCTCATCTCCAGCAAAAGATTCGATATAAACCTGATAAGCTTCTCTCAAAAACAAGACCAAGTAGTATTTCCTCAATTTCGTTTTCTGCCCTTGCTCCCAAACCATCATTTCATCCTTCATTCCAGGCATGGTATATGATATATCTGGGCGATAGAAGAATTGAGTGACTGAAGCCACAACATCATCGGAAACTGCTGGTCTTCCGCATGGTCCCACAGCTGCGCACATCTCTTCGTCTAACGCAAGGCCAATACGCTTTGCCAAACCCTCTACAACGCATCGTCTCTTGTTTGGAGATGCAGGCAGGGATCTCAGTGACTTACGAATTGCCTTTCCAAAGCTCTGAGGACGCTTGTATGGATTTTGGGGAGTTGACGTTGGTGTGGAAGTACTGGTTGAAGGTGGACTACTTGCGGATGTGCCTGTACTATTTTCTGTCGCGATGTTCTCTTCCTTTCGGCAGCCTTTCTTTTGTATTCTGATTTTTCCTCAGCCGACATATTGTTCACTCTCTTTTTCCTACATGCTTCAACTCGTTTACTTTCTTTCTTCTTAAAGTCTACCGCTGTCGTGGTCATCTTAGCTCTGTATTTCTTGACAGCTTTTCTATTAGAGAGCTTTCTTTTCTCATT